CATGAGAAAGTGTTCAACATCATTAGTCATTCGAGAAATGCAAATTAAAACAACATTGAGATTTCATCTCACCCCAGTAAGAATGGCAAGCATGAAGAAATCAACCAGTAACAAATACTGGCGGGGCTGTGGAGAAATAGAAACTCTTCTCCGCTGCTGGTGGGAATGCAGACTGGTGAAGCCACTGTGGAAGTAAGTCTGTAGACTCTTCAGCAAACTATGTCTACAGGTCCCATTCAACCCAGCTATTCCCCTTCTGGGTATTTTCCCAGAAGATTTGAAAACATTACCACAGCAATATACGTGCACCCATGTTCATAGCAGCGCAACTTGTAATTGCTAAATTGTGGAAGCAACCCAAATGCCCATCCACTGAGGACTGGATAAAAAAATTGTGGTATTTTTATATAATGGAATATTACTCAGCTATAAGGAAAGATAAACTCGAGGCTTTTATAGGGAAATGGTCACAACTGGAGACCATACTCATAAGTGAAATAAATCAGACCTGCATTTGTAAGCATTGTATTGTCTCACTAGTGTAAGACCTGAAAGAGTGAATAAAAACTAGGAGGTATGATAGACATTGTGAAACAAAAGGAAATGTTCAAAAGTAAAGGGCAACTGGGGTGTAGGAAATGGGGAGGGAAAGAAGGGGAAATTATGTAACTATGTATATACAGAATAGCTAACATGGTTGTACTACTGTCTTCTATTGCTCTACAGAAAGGAACAGTTAATGATTACTTGTTTAATCAATCTTGTATGTCTCTATTTGTTTTGTTGAGAAACCACACTGAAGCTATCAATAAGTAATATAACAACTATTGTCAATTTCCTACAACTTTGTCTGTAACTGTTTTGTTTGTATTGTTCTTATCCTATTTTGTAAATAGATGTCTGTTTGTTAATATGTTTTACTTCTTTTATTTCTTAATATTAAAAAAAATTTTAAAGGGAAGTTGGATAATTCACACTATTTGGTTTCAAAATTTATTGTAAAGTGGTAGTAATTAATATAGGCTACTGGGAAGAAAAGAGATGCATACGAACTTCTCAGATGAAGAAATACAAGTAGAAAATAAATATATGAAAAAATGTTCAACATCGCTGGTCATTTGAGAAATGCAAATTAAAACACTGAGAGTCCATTTCACCCCAGAAAGAATGACTATCATCAAGAAATCAATCAATAACATATGCTGGAGGGGCTGTGGAGAAAAAGGAACCCTTCTCTGCTGTTGGTGGGAGTGTAGACTGATAAAAGAAAATGTTTGTGACCCTGGATAAGGTAAAACGTTCCTTAGGTATGACACTAAAACATGGTATATAGAATAAAAGGATAACTTGGCCTTTAATAAAATTTAAAACTTCTGCTCTTCTGAAGGCTCAAGTTAAGAAAATGAAATGATAGATGCAGAGGAAGTATGCTGCAAAGACAAAACCATATATGATCAAAAGACTTGTGAACAGAACATACCGACCACTCAAATCTTATGGAGAAAATAAACTGCTCTTTAAAACATGGCAGTAAAGTACCAGGGATATAGCTCAGCAGCACAGTGCCTGCCTGGCAAGGCGAAAGTTCTGAGTTTGATTCCAGGTACCAAAAACACAACAAACAAGTAAAAATGGCAACAGAATTCTTACATCTGGCAATCTGAGCAACTTCACTGAAGATAACAATATATAACAACCATTGTTAATTTCCTACCATCTTGTTTTAAAATTCTGTATTGTTTTTGTTTTTTTTCTTTGTTGTTGTTATTTTGTTCTTTTTAAAATAAAAATAAAATACAGTAAAATAGAATAAAAGAGATGGACAGGAACGTAAAAAATGGCAATAGGGACTTTGCCAAAGAATGTACAAAGATGGTAAATAAGTACATGGAAGATGCTCTACATTATTTCATTAAGGGAATGCAAATTAAATCTACATTAAAGCATTGTGATTGTTATGGTTTATGTCTAGATGTTTCCCGAAAGTCTCAATTCACTTTCAGGTGGGACTTTTTCAGAGGTAGCTAAATCTAGAGCTTGTGGTTGATTCATGGGTCAATGTTAGGATGAAGAATGGATGACTGCTGATCATTCCACTGTCTGGGTTGGCACCACCTCAATCCTAGCAGTCAGGATAAGATAAAAGGGGCAGAAAGAGGCTTGTCTCCTTGCTCCTGCTCTGGTTGCTTTTGCTATCTTCCACTGCCATAAACTGCTGCCCCTCTGCCATGTGCTACTGTGCCTTGGAGCCAGCCAATTATGGACTGAAACCTCTACAAATTGTAAGCTAAATAACCTTTCCCCTTCTAACTTTAGGTGTCAGATATTTTGTCTCAGCAACAAGAGACAAAAGTAAATTAGTAATATACTAGAATGGCTAGAATTTTTGAGAACTGACAATATCACAGGTGCTAGTGAGAATACAGAGCAACTAGATCTTTCATACACTTTAAGTATGGCCCCAAAATGTTATAGCCACTTAGTATCATTCATATTTTTCTAATTATTGCCACTTCAACTCTCTGTAATACTAGCAACTCTGGTTCTACTTATATACTTGAGAAATATCAGAAATAAAACTTCATCTTAGAATAAAAAATGCTATAGCTAGTTTGGAAAACAGCTGGCAGCTTTTTATAAAGTACAATACAGTTTACCATACCACCCAAGAATCCTACACTTAGGTATTTACTCAAGAGAAATGAAAACTTAGATCCATATGAATCTGTATAGGAATGTTTTCAGCAGTTTTATTCACACTGCCAAAAATGGAAACAACCCAAATGTTCATCAACAAATGGATAAACTAATACATCCACAAAATGGCATATTACTGAACAATAAAAATGAATAATAATGTCAAATGCATCATACTAACTGAAAGAAGCCGGACGTCAAAAGCTATACATAAAATGTGATCTCATTTATACAACATGCTGGAAAAGGCAAAAATTACAAGAAAACAGAACAACTCAGTCACCATCAGAGCTGAGGGCTGACTATAAAGGGATCCTAAAGTCTTCTGGGGTGAAAGAACTATTCAATATTCCCATTGTGATGGTAGTTAGTATACAAAAAGGTATATACTTGTCAAAATTCATAGAAGTTATACTTCAAATCTTTAAAAACTCCAAGATGCAAAACGATAAAAGCATTTAGTTTTTTTAATACCTTACAACTACAGCAACAGATTCCAACCGAGAAGTGATAAAGGCCTTCGTGATTTCAGGTGCATAAGTGTCTAATAAGTGGGGTTCAGTTGACTTCACAAAAGGAACCGATGCTACCATTCTTTGCCACAGAGTTAATAAATAATGAACACTGTTGGGAGCAAACTCCCAATGCTACAAGGAAATAAAGAGGAAGTTATTTAAAATGACACCATAGCTTTATAGAATACAGAGCAAAATTACCAACAATACATTTTAAAATTTAAATTCTGATTACATAAAATTTTAATCTAATTATACGTAATTAACACTTCATATAGCAAATTTTATAAACAGAAAAAATAAAGAAACCAGTATCTTTCATTATTATACCACTCAGACATGACCATTATTGAAATACTTTATTTTCTTTCAATCATTTCATGAGTATATTTTTCATAGAGTTAACATCATATGGAAAACATGATTAGTTAACTTCTCCCCAAAACTTACGAAAAGAATTTTCCCATAAGACAATCTGTAAAACTATCATTTCTCTTCTTCATATAGATTTCACTATTGCTTCTCAAGTTATTCTTCAGTTATTAGACATTTAGGTGGCTTGACAATTACTTTTATAAATGCTGCAATGAAGTTTTTACCTAAACCTCTACAAAAAACATTTCAACAAAGTAGTCAAATTAATAGATGTCAAAACAAAAACAGTGGTACTATCCTTTGCAAGAAATTGTTTTCTTTTCTTTGGTATCAGGAATCAAACTCAGGACCTTGTGCTTGCCAGGCAGGTGCTTGTGCTGCTGAGCTATATCCTGGCCTCAAAAATTGTTCTAAAATTACAGTTTAACATCCATTGTATTTCTACTTACCTGTAAGCTAGTGATAGTAAAGTTAGCAATCAGTCTGATAACTTCAGGATATTCCTTTACCATGACTAATTCTCCCAGCTGATAATTTGACTTTAAACGAGCTAAAAATCGACAAAATTCATGGTAATTACCTGGATCAGACAAACCCTAAATTATGAGACAAAAAGGAAAGTATTTAATACAAACCAACCTATTGATAATAAAACCAATAAAATTCCAAACTATTTCATTAAACTGCCTAGTGTGCAATGGGTACTTCAGGTACTTCCTGTCAACTGGGAAGACAATAATATAAGGAAACAAATGATTCCTGCTAAATTAAATGATCTCATCAATTATTAAGAATAAGAAACTCAGACTGCAGTTTGAAAGAAGCTTTGGACCACAGTGACTAAAATAAAATGTTTCAGGAACCTTTTAGAGAAGGAGAGGGAGAGGGAAAAGAAAAGAACATGAAAGAATGAATTGTGCTTTAAACAGAAGTCAACAGAGGACTTAAGAAGCAAAATAAGAATGAGATGCTAGAAATGAGCAACACAAATTAGATTTAAATGGTGTCTGTGTGTGTGTGTGTACATTAGTAATAGAAATTTCTTTTAATTCAACACTTACAAGTACTTACAGACATTGTCCCCTCAAGTTAATTCCATGTTTCTAAATGGATAGTCATTCAAATTATTGCAATGTTAGGAATAAAATAAAATACCTCAAAGATACACAGGTAAGTTTTAGAGGATAGATTCAAGACCAACAAAAAGTCTCCCCAGTTGTCTATGAGCTCCAGGCAAACAGGGCAAATGTATTATCACTATTATTTCAGTATTTTTCAGTATGTACTGTAGCTAGCATGAAATAAAATTCAAGAGGATCAGTTTAATACTGAGTTAGCTTTATGACAGAATATAAAATGTGTGCAATTATTAAGGAGACGGCAAGAAGACATCTTGTACTCTTAAGTCTTTTAATACCTGGTTGGGATTCTAAAATAACTTTCACAGCAAAACATCAATATGAGGATGTTAGAAAATCATTTAAGAGAATTATCTGAGATTGGCATAGTATCTTCCACAATATAGGTTGGTAACAGTGAGTTAAGCAACTAAGAATTTTAAAGTACACTGCAAAAGCCTATTTACTAGTAAAACTAGTAAATTTACTAACACTGAAAAGAAAAACAATTGCATAAACCATTAAGATATTCCTGTGAATAACCTACAAAGTAACTACTTTCAAAAGAATATTTTATTTTGTATCATGCCTTATTTCTGTAAAAATATATTATCTGTCCCCTCAAAAGTTATTAATAACATAGAGGTTTAAATATAGCTATTTAAATTACCATTTAACTTTTTTACATTTGTAGTTTAATTACAGGTACTTTAAACCAGAAACAAAATAGTGAACCAGAATACTTATCCTGACACCCAAACTCACTCATTAATAATGGCTTTGTAATTCTCTCAAAAGAATATTGCCAGAGGGGCTGGGGATTTAGCTCAGCGGCAAAAGTGCCTGCCTGGCAAGCACAAGGTCATGAGTTCGGTTCCCGGTAACGGAGAAAAACCAAAACCAAAAAATTTCCAGAGAAGCTCTGAAGTTACTGCAGAGTAGATTTTTAAATCTACAAACTCTTATTTGTCCACAAGAGGGCAAAAAGACAGTATTTCATTATTTAAAGTTACTTATTCCAATATTATCATTAAGAATTATATTAAATCTTCTAGTTCAGAAAGTAGATATAACCTGGAATCAGTAAATTAACAAATGTAAACAAAGAAATGCAATATAATGGTAAAAGACAGAAGCATAGTAAGATATATGTCCTCTTCTAAAAGAAAAAGAATCAAAAGAGGAGAAACACAGAAGTCTTCCATAGAAATACCTGTTTGTTAAAATTGCCTATTTGTACTACAAATTAAACCTACAAAAGATGAATAAGATACTAAATATTTTCTTCAAGAATCATAATAAATTCATGAGTTTATTATGTGCCTTTGAGCAGAAATATTATTTCTAGATGCTAAGAATTAATTAAATTCCTTCATAAATACCTGAGGGTTTTCAAGTATCCTTTTTACTCCCTTAATTAAATTACCAAGGTATGTGGCACGTTCAGGGCTGCTAAATAAGGACCTTCTTGTAGAAGCAAACTGCACTAAACATGAAAGTGCCTAAAAACAACAAGAAAAATTCATTTCAGATTTAAAAGTAGGTATCACCATATGTAAAAAATAGTAGTCTTTAACTTGTCATGTATTAAATGTTGATAAGAACTTTATAGACTATAAAGACAATAAAAGCTAAATATTGTCAACCACTGTAACCACCTGCATCCCTTCTACTCCACCATTAAAATTCCTATTTGTGCATTTCCCCCTTTAATATTTTCTCATACACTAATTCTGCAGAGCAAAACCTGGATATACACATACGTTAAGAGGCTCCTAACTGCTTACAGTGTCTCATTCTTGCAAAGTAAGAACCAGTGTTCTATCAAAAAGAAAGGATTTTATGGTACAATATGTTTTTAAAATACTCTGAATTATGCACCATAGTAACCTGAAAGGAGATAAAAATTATATAATTTGACTTAACTCAGTACATTTCAAACTTATTTGGTCCTAGACTACTTTATACCACACATTAGTATCTTAATGAACAGTTTAGAAAATGCCGCTAGAAGAGTATGTACTTTCTAAACATTCCTAAGGAATACCTGTGGCACAGTTATATTCCTGAAGTTTCCAGACAATTTCACTACTTAGGTTCTTAATTTTAATGATACCTATTGAAGTCTGTCTTATTAAAAATTCACAACTTTTAGGTCAAACTAGAGTATGTTTTATGTTTTCTCCACACTGCTTGCCCACTTTAAAAATAAAATTAGCTGTCAACACTTAAATCAATTAGGATATTTCACACAGAATGTCTGGCTCTTTTGGCAAGTATAAGAATAGGGATTAAAAGTAAAAAATTCAGATTTCCTTTTTAGATATGGTGTAGTTTGCCATAGCCCCCATAGTTAAAAACAGAAACCCAAAACCCCCCTCCAAAACCAAACAAAATAAACCTCTTTAGGCAACTCTAATTAGCAAGCTTGGAAACTACTTAATGTATTAAAAGTGAAAGCAAATACCAGCCAGGCATAGTGGCACACACCTGTATTCCTTAGCACTCTTGCAAGAAGGTAAGGCAGAAAGACAGCAAATTCAAGTCCCACTTGGGCAACTTAGCAAACCTCTATTCCAAAATAAAATAGAAAAAGACTGAGGATGTAGTGCAAATTTACCATTGATTCAGTGCAAAGGTGCTGGGTTCAATTCCCAGCATAGATAGACAGATAGATAGATAAGACAGATAGACAGACAGACAGAAAGAAAGATAGAGGGAAGAGATGTGGGAGGGAGGGAAGGAGAGAAGGAAAAAAGAAAGGAAGGAAGGAAGGAAGGAGAGAGAGGAGGAGAGAGAGAGAGAAAGAAAGACAGACAGACAGACAGACAAGCAGATGGGTGGGGAGTGAAAAAAGAAAAAGAAGCAAAATACCAGGGGGCTTTTTGTCCCGAAAGTCGTGGGTTTTAATCTCAGTACAATATTAGTTTGTTGCCCTATGGGAAGTCATCTAGCCATTCTGGGTCCGGTTTTTGTTTTTCTGAGTCTACCTACTGAGGGCAGTGTTAGTAAATTTGCACAGCCACTATAAGGATTAAGCAAGACAGGCACTATGTAATAAGTCTGATAAATGTCAATTACTATCTTGAAAACAAAGCAGATGTTTTCTACTTTATTTTTCAATCACCAGTACTTTTGAGTTTTACCCTAAAACATACTTGTAAGAAAGTATGGTTTTAAAACGAATAAAAGCAACACTGCCCTGGCTGAAAGGTTAAACAAACATACCACTGATACGTATTTTCAACCTTTCTTTTTCTTCAAAAAGAAACATCTTTTTTCAGAAAATGGCACTAAAATTCCCCTTTATTTCTCAAAGTTTAGATATTAAACTTACCATTTTTTTTAACATTGCCAGTATATTTTAGATGCTACAAAGATGGAGCCGACAGTATCTGACATACTACATATGACAGTGGATAGCAAGAGTTTCAAGAATTTTGGAGCATGCAATAAAATTTGATTCAAAAATAAATGAACAAGAGTCATGAGAACAAGTCAAATAAGAAGATCCACTTTGTTTTTCATTCAGAAATATCTGATGAAGCCCAAGACATACAGGGAGGCAGATAAGGTTGAGGAAATAAGAGAGAAGTAAGACAAAGAAAGGTCTGGATGGTGTCGTTAAATGCTGGACATTGATCCTGTGAGAACTGATTAAGAAGAAAGATTAAGGTTGAGAAGTTATCCTCGCTTTGGCCTTTGGCAGGAAGAAAAGCCACAGTTACTGGTTCTCAACTCACCATAAAAAAAAAAGACTGGACTGTTGACAAAATAAAATAAATCTGACAAAGCTGAAACAAAACACATCCTAGAAAATGTAGGAACTATTTGCGAAAGGTCAAACCAATCAAATATATAAGTAGAATCTTTTGTCATAAATATATATCATCCTTACTTTCATTAAAGATCACAGATCCTTTTCAATGATATAATGGATAACTTTTACTTACTAACTGAGACAGCAGTGGTGGAAGTGCATGATACAAATTGAAGAAAAGATCCAATGTTTCTGGTTCCAGGAAAACTGAAAAAAAAAAAAATTACATTCTAATACCATTACTTTCATTTTTAAATTTTTTTTTTGGTACCAGGAATTGAACTCAGGACCTTGCGCTTGCCAAGCAGGCACTTGTGCCACTGAGCTATATCCCTGGCCCCCAATCCCATTACTTTCAATCCAGTGATAAGACATTATCATACAAACTGAGAATTCCAAAATATCTACATGTAGCTACTCTAGTTTTGGCTATGTTAAGTTTTTAGCTACTTTCCTATAAAAGATAAAACAACAGAGGTAGAAATTAACCAATTAAGATGGTCCTTATTTCTATGTAGAATCTACAGTTCTAACAGGACAATCTTCTATTTCATTCATATTAATATAAACACTTTAAAAATTCAAAAATGTATCAAAAAGTAAACTGTACTAAAAAGTATGTAAAGAAAAGCTGCACATAGCCCATTCCAAATACATACCTATCAATATATATACATGTATTTCCAAACACTTTATAATGCTTCCTTCATTTGATTTTTTTTTTAATTTTAGATATTAGCTGAATTGTTATTCAGGTATATGAGGTTTTAGTTGTGTAATCATTCACCCTGCAGTTATACCTGTACCATTCTCTACACAACCCATCCTTTTACCTACTATTATCACAATTTGTGATAAAAGCAATTCTACAGCATTTACATTTATGCTACAATTGTATCATACACTCTTGTATTTAATTGCAGCATGTTTTCAGCGCTTAGCTGTACATCTGTTAATAATTCTTTCCAAATGCTCTGAAAGATTTCAAAATCTGTTCTTCATAACCTTATCTATAACATCACTAACCTATCATTTCCATTCTCCTACTCACACCTCTTAGTCTTGCAATTTTTTTTAGCTTTTAAAATGAATCATTTATTAAATTAGACTGTTATTCTTAACAGTTATGTAAGTTACATGTATATTTAATTTAGAGTATTTCACATGAAAAAAATTTTAAACTCCTATAGACAAGCAAAATCATACCACACAATATATACATGGGAAAAGGGTACTGCTAAACATTCAAGTAAGGCAAGTATTTAAAACAAAAAAATAAAAAAAAATTTTAAGCATTCCTTTAAGAGAATTCAACACAACAAGCTAAATGTACTTTCTGAGTGTATTCATATATTCAAGGAGTGTTTCTTCTTTTAAAACATCAGGAAATGGAATAAGGCTCATTAATAGATACAGGTGCCCTCAAGATTTCAACCTCAGTCGCTTTCTTTAAATTAAAATTCACAAAGTGCACAATTAACATGTATCAAAAAACTGAATCTGCTACTCTAATGACAGCTGTCCATGCTTAATACTTAGTGGTTTACTGGACCAAATTATGTCTTTTCAGGAAAAACAAACAAACAAACAAACAAGATAAGCCACTGTAAAACATTTAGTTTGAATTGTATGCTAATACTTTTCTTCTTAGAAACTAAAAATTATGGAGGAAGGGGTTATTCACTATAAGGAATGCAAAGCAAAACACTAGAATGACAGAACACTTTCAAAGAACAAGCACCACAAAGGACATTTGCATTCAGTTTTGTAGTATTTATCAATGCACTTTTCTTACTCCAACCAATCTACTTTATCAAATTCTGTATCATCTTCTGAGCCATTGTATTCCACAGCAATACATCGAGAGAGGATGGTGGCAACATCACTTTCAATGCATTCATGCTTAGCTTCTTGTTCACGCTGCTCTTCTACTTTGCAGAGCTGAATACCTTTCCGTGTTGCTTCCAGGAGTTCAATTCGGGCATCACTGGTTACAGGTAGGGTTGATGGATGACACTTTGGCTCAGAAGCAGATATAATTTGTGATGGAGGAGATGAAGGCATTAATGGGACATGGGGACCTGGGACCGTAGATGGAGTCAGATGCAGCCCAGAGGGAGGATGAGCAAGAGCTCCAACTGTGACAGGTGATGATGGCTGAATGCCAGGTGGAGGCAGAGGAGGCGGTGGTGGGGGTAGAGGTAGCCCCTGGACTTCACCTTGTGGGAAAGGATGAACTGGTACAGTCTCACATACTGGGGCAGCTCTAGCTACTCGTGGAGAGGGCTGTACTAGAGGAGGTGCAATTGGAGAAGCTGGGTGAAGAACTCCAGGGGCAATCTGGGGAGGAGCTGGAGGTGGGTACTGCTGGAGCTTGCAAAGCAGGGGCTGGAGGTGGAGGTGGGGGAGGTACTGGCAGGGGAGGAGTTGAAGTCATTGAAGCTCTTAATGAAGAAGTTGACAAGGCAGATGGAAGAGGTGGCGGAGGAGGTGGCGGAGTGGGGCTCACAAACAGGTGTTCTGCCTGTAGCTGGTGACTGAGGACAATTTTCTATCAAACCTGTAGCAGAACTGATACAGGTAGGTATGGGTTTCACATCTCCTGTTCCGTTAGCCTTGCAATTTTTTACTGCATGTGTTGATTCACAAATCCATCAGTAGTCCAGATTCAGAACACTAAGTCACTTTTGTGTTATTTTAGTCTTTGATTTCCATATTAGAGGTGCTCACAAAAATCTATGGTGTCCTACTGCATCAGGTATCCCTGTATCTAAAGCATCTCCAGTTTTTTTTTTTTTTTGGTTTTTCTCTGGTACCGGGAACTGAACTCACGACCTTGCGCTTGCCAGGCAGGCGCTTTGCCGCTGAGCTAAATCCCCAGCCCCACATCTCCAGTTTTAATTTAAGGAAAAAGTTCTGGTCTTGGGAAACAAGGTAGTGCAGAAAGAAAAGACATGAGAAAAGGCAATCATCTAGCTACACAAGTGGTAGATCTTGTGTTATGGTTTGTGTCTAGATGTCCCCACAAAGCCTCATGCAGTCATGGCGCAGGCTTCCAGAGTATATAATTGATTCATGGTCCAAGGCTGGGATTAGGGGTATGAGTGCTACACTCACCCTAGGGCAGGTAGCATGCATACAAAATAAGGGAGGGAAGGAGGCTTGCTCTCTGCTGCTCCTCCCTTTTTGGCTCTTGCTGCTTTTGCTGTCTTCAGCAGCCATGAACTGTTGCCCTCTGCCATGTGCCACTCTGCCCTGGAGCCAGCTGAGTATAGAGTGCAACCTCCACAAACTGTAAGTAAATAATCCTTTCTTTCCTTAATTTTGGGCATCAGGTTTTTTGTCTCAGCAAAGAGAGAAAAGTAACTGAGAATTACTGTTCAAAATACAGTCTTTTATCAGCCATTTCTGACTCATTCTCCAGCTCTGACTTCAGAAATAGCCTAGTGCTACCATTTTTCTAGGATAAGAGGGAAATAAACCAACCGATTTTTTTCTTGGTATTTCTCCTCTAGGAAAGTAAGTTGCAACTCAGCTCTATTAAGTTACTTACTCTAACTCATTCTTTTTATAACCTTGAAAAATATGTTGACATTTCTTGCTAACTACTGGATCCTCCCCAACTCAGTTTATCTAAAAGTTTAAAGAGTTCTTGATTTTCCTACCTAGTCCTACAGCAATCCTTTCTTTTGTTCAGGATCAAAATATGGCAGTTACAATGTTATCAATTGGGGAAAACATTTTAATATTGTGAATGATAGCTAGTTTGGGTTACAAATCCTCCTGAGCTCTTTTTCAATTGTCTAAAAAAATAGGAATGACTATACTCAGAGCAACTATATTGCTTACTTCTTTGTTTTGTTGTTTTTTTTTTTTTGGTTTTTCTCCGGTACTGGGAACCGAACTCACGACCTTGCGCTTGCCAGGCAGGCGCTTTTGCCACTGAGCTAAATCCCCAGCCCCTATATTGCTTACTTCTGTACCATTTATGTTGACCACCCCTGTTGCAAAATATTTTCTTACTTGTTCTCCAGGTTGTTGGTATCTGCACTGTGCAGAGATCATCTGCAGATTCATCTGCTGAACTGCCAATGAAGTCGAAACTTAAGCAGTTGAGGACCAGTTTCAAGACCTGCATCACCAGATTTTGTTGACCCTGGTCCTGAAGATTTAAAGGTTTGGACAATACCTAAAAGAAGTTCAAAATAAAGTAAAACAAGATTTAAATATATCAGTAAATGTTAACTTTACATATTCAAGTAACTTCAATGCCAAAAAAACTTAGTAAAAAAAAAAAGAATTCAGAAAGTTAAATTGTCTCAAATAGTAAGGAAAAATGGTAAAATCACTATCACAAATTTCTTTAATAACACACTATTTCAAATTTAATTTTGTGAAATGAGAATGAAGATGTTTACATTTAACTATATAATGCAGGTCATCTAAAGTTGTAAGAGGTAACCTGAGGACAAATACTCTACATAACACATACGTACATGCACAGGATTTGTTAGTTCAATGAATGCTTTGCACAAGCTGAAAATACAACTCTCTTCACAGAAAACTGGGCTACCCTTCATGTATGAATAACCTATATTTAATTAACAAAGGCTATCAAATCTGACTGTGGAAGAACACCCACAAGCTTCTGGAGAGCAATTCTAACCACCAAAATAATGTCCATTCTGCCACAACATGAAAAGATTAAACCTTTTGAAGTTAACTCACAAAATATTTGTAAAAAAAAAAAAAAAAAGACACGAAACTTGGGACTCTCCAAGAATAATACACAAAGAAGTAAAGTGGGTAGGTAGAGACAGAAATGAAACAAGATTGGCCATGTTACTGTTTCACTGGTTCAAAGGTTCAAGGGCGTCAATTACACTATTCTACTTACATTTGTACAAGTTAAATTTTTTCATACTAAAAGAAAATTTTTAAGATCAGGTCTTTTAGTCCGATTTAGTGTGGCGATTAACTTGTTACCACACAAATTGAGCAGCCCTAATCCCAAAATCCAAAATGCCTTGTAATCCAAAACTTTTGAGCATCCATTCATTGCAAACAGAATCAAATTTCCTTATAAGGTCAACAGTGAACCTAACCACTGAATTTGATTCAGTTCGCAGTGAACTCGGCCTGTGACCAGAATCATGGAAAGAATTAAGTTTGTGAACTGAGGTACCATTGTATATATAGAAACTAGTGCTTAGTGGAACATACTTTGGGAAATGCTGTATTATGCCAGCTAACAAGCTTGAGGAGCATGATGGAATCCCTGTATTATGTAAGAGAGCATGAAACAACTGTGAATCATGTGATCACTAATATTTAATAGGACACTATGAAACCAAAGGGGAATTCTCATTTCCCAAAGAAATTAATCAGGTCAGCTATGCTGGCTAAATGATCAATAGATTTTGATAATTAATGAATTATGAAAACTTACCATCATTTCATTTTTTTTGTATGCAAAGTACGGGCAGGCAGGCAAAAAAATTAAAACAATTAGATTTTACAATTAATCTACAGTAAGAAAACAATGAAACTACTATCAAAAGACAACTTACTAAGATTCTTTGGATTTCACCTTACATACCCAGTAAGTAAAGGTGTATGTCTTGGAACCACTTACAGATATGTGCAAATTTACCGTACTTAAGACTGTCAAAAAAAAAAAAAAAGACTATTCATAATAATTCTTTTAAAGACAGAATTGAAGGGAAAAATCCATTTAAATTATTTTGAGCCTCTTAAAATTCCCTAAATATCCTAACCAGTAGACTGAATTATTAAATAATTTACCTCTTTTAGAAGAGAACATGCTAATACAAATATGTCTTTGAGAGAAGTATCACGAAATGAGGTAGCTATTTTCCTGTGTTTTGCTGAAGGTCTAGAATAATCAACCTAAAAAGATCAAGATGAATTAGTTTAAGCAGTATTTTTCTAATTTGTGATTGACACCAGAAAAATAGTTACTTTCGATTTTGTTTTTTCATATACTGTGACTCCAAATGGAACTGCTCTTGGGATACAAAATCTGTATCTATCACTTGGAATACAAATCTGTTTCTATTGCTGTCTTGGTCTCTGTCTCTCTACCTCTCTTTCTCTCTCTCTCTACATACACATAAACACACACATACACATAAACACACACATCCCACTCAGGATAATGAGTTTTTAAATTTAAATACTACAATCCCGTTTATTACAAAATTATTTCACACAGAACCTAACTTCTGCTTTTGTCCTGCTCAGAGCCTCACTAAGCACAAAAACAGGAGCAGGTGATAATGTGTTGGAGGGTGGTGTAGCTTTTGAAAACTCTCCTTGTACAGAGTGAAAATTCCAGCTAGAAAGTGGCAAAGTCCCAAGAGGCCTGTTTTTGATAAGTCTTGCTGTGTATCCACTGATGAGAATTACTTCACCAAACCACTTGTTTTCTATATGTAAGTGAATAAAGGTATGTTTCTCTTTTGCATTTAGTTTATGTCTTCTGATTATTATGTATATGTAACATGCAAGGAAAACTTTCCAAGTCCTCATGGAACAAGGACCATGTCTAATTCTCTGTTCCTTGTAGTACTTTCTACTACTGCTGATACTTTCAATAATAGTAGAAGTATTCCACTACTTAGTTATCCTCTCAATAAAAGAAATTTCATTAGTCAGAGTTTTATCCCACCCATTTTGTCACAAATGAAAGAAACAGCATTACTTAAGCAAATTTCACACCCCCATTAAATATAAAGGCTTACCAGATTCATTTCCTGAGTCAATTCAGAAAGGATTATTACTCCTATTACACAGTGTTCCACAGTACCCTTTGGAGAATATAAACAATGGAAACATGATTGGTTTTTAATGTATAAGGAAAGTAATATTTATAGAGTATTATAAAAAATTAAATACCAAAATATCACATTTACTTAATATCTCAAAATATGTAGAAAAATCACTATGCGTTCTACAAGTAAGAATTTCAAGTTTTGAAGAATAAATTTGAGTACAGAGTTGAAGGAAAAAATGCTCACCTACCTTAGAACTACATAATACTCTACAAAATGTTATCGCCACCTGAGACCTATAGTAAACTAAGCTTAAAATCATGTATGAGTTTTTATACCAACTTTGTTTTGTGGCAGTACTGGGGATGGAACCTATAGAACCTACACATGGTAGGCAACCGATCTACTCACTGAGCTACAATCCCAGCCCTCAAAATGCAAGTTTTTAAAAGACCATAAATAAGAACAAACAAATGACACTATTTGGCTGTATAAATATCCTTGAAGTAACTGTGATAGCTGCATTCAATACATAATAAATAGCTTAGAAACTAATTCAAATCCTTTCATCTTATATTAGATAAAGATTACATAGGCCCTTTTAATTTCATTTAATCATGCACATGCATGGATTTGTTATATACCTATACTGAAGACATCTAAAGCACCCAATGCAGTAAAATATATACATAGCTATCAATATGGTAAACAAGTTCATAGCCTCTACCATATTTTAATTTAATCAGCCTCTAATCTAATCTCGAAAATTTCCTGAATATTAAAATTCAGATTTTATACGCACATTACTAACAAATTGCTCTATTGCAAAATCACAGTGGAAGCATAAAAATAATAAATGTAACATCAAATTACAGTGCAATTATACAAAAACATTAATAGATAATAAACTTGTCAAGTCTTACAGTTGGTTATCTCTTCAACTCTCACAGAATTCCAGTAGCATTGCTCTCACTAGATATAATCAAGTTCAAATTATCTCAGAACAACAACAAAAGAACAAAAGAAATGTACCAGAACTCCTGCATTTCAATTCTCTATGACTTTTAGCATAGTTAGGGTATCTGACTAAGCTCCTAATTTCTGATTCACTGACGCATCCATCCTCTGTGCACATGAAGTCAACAACTGCTCTCTAGCCAGGCGTGGTGGTGCACGCCTGTAACCCCAGCACTTGGGAGGCGGAGGCAGGAGGATCGTTGTGAGTTCAAGACCAGCCTGGGCTTACAAAGTAAGCTCAAGGCCAGCCTGAACTGCATAGCGAGACCCTGTCTCAAAAAGATAAAAAAGAGAAAGAAATAACTGCTCTCTGACCAACAATTGGTCCATGACCCCACTGGGAATCCATTAGTTGAATTCTTACATAAAAAATGCTTTGGTACTGGTCCATAACAACAACAAAAAACATCTGCCAGAATATACCACAGTTGAATCACTAACTACACTGTTTAGTTAAGAGGCATTCTTTTCACCCCAATTTCTTCTTGATGAGTGAAACACCAACTTTATTTACAATCTGCATACACTCCTTATCTTGTTGCACAGAAACAATGTGAATAGCACTACCTTAGAAGAAAGTTTCCTGGGTATGTATGTAGAAAGGAAGTACCTAAGTATGTTTGGACTGTGATACCACAAGGAGTATAACAACAAAGAAAAAAGAATGCTCAAAAGTTCAGGCCATTAGGAACTAACTATGCAGTACTATTTTATAGGTTTTATGCATTGCAGAATAGGACTGAGTCACATCTTACACAGGGGTTAAATTTTAAAATTACTATAGTACATGAGAAATGAAATCTCAGAAAGTCCAAATTACCCCTGACCACTAGTAAGCCAATATGGAACCAAGTTTTACCAACTGCTAGTTTTTCCTCAAGAATTGCAACAGATCACTGTCTCTTTAGCTGGATACCTACCTAAAGCGGCCTTGTTGCAATTAGCAAACCTTTAAATAACTGAGTCATCCTTGAAAGAGGCATATAGGAACCAAGTGAAGATTGAGAATTCCCTATATCATCTTAGGACATATAATTACTATGTGGAATGGCAGGTGGAATCCCTGGTATAATTTAATCTCCTCTGGTCTTTCAATCCAAATATCTGAATTTACGTAAGTCAAATATTAAGTATGCATATGCTATGACTTAAATAACTTAGTTCGAAAAATACTTGAGAAAACAACATAACCAATATGGTAAAGTATAAAAAAATCTTTTAAAAATTCTCAGAAGACTCAAAGTACTATTTCTATACTACATCATTGTGTGACCTTATGTAAATTCTTTAACTTTTCTAATCTTGGCTTGCTTATTTACAAAATGAAACCCACTTCACAAAAATTAGAGTAGATAACATGTAAAAATTATTATATACATGGTTTGTATATGTACAGTGCATAAACCTGTCATAAATAAAAGAACATAAATTTTTGAAATTAGAAAACATGATTACTTGCATTCTTCTGGTGTGAAAGTTATATAACAGCATGATTTTACCTACTGACAATAACTAATAAAGGGTCTAAGGATAAATAATAAATGACAACTAATATGGTACTGCTTGCCAGAAAACCACAGAGCTTTAAGAACAGCAGTATTCTAAACTCAAATATCAAGTGGTGACATTGTAATAATGTAATAACGTCTTCTTACCTGAAGAAACTTCTTTACATCAGAAATAATTTCTCTAAAGATAAATTGGTCTTTCTGAACTTCAAACCACCCCAATTTAGTGATTTTAGCAATGACTTGAACAAGAGCTTGGATGACAAAGGGAGCCAACTTAGGCTGTGATGCCACATAATTCAGAATGTAGTTTCCTGTAGAGAAAATATTCTGTGATTATTTGGGCTTTCAAGAAACATAATGTGACTCATGTGAAGAAAAAGACAAAGTAATAACATGCTCTTTGACAAACGGTTAACTGTTTTCCTGAAGATATATTCTTATAGTCAATGCTCCTATAAACTTGTTTCAAAAGACTTATTGCTTATACCACATATCCCCATCCCAGAAAAATATCAAAATTCAAAATATGGTTTCCACCGAGTGCTTACTGCTTATGCCTCATTGTAAGATAAAAAAATCGTAAGCCAAGTCACTATAAGGTAAGGAACATTTGTACTACTCCTACTTCTAAAACAAGTTTACATTTTAAAAATGTAAAGTCAAATAGATCTTCTGAATGTCTATCCACTGATTTTGATATATCAGGGATAATTTGAGTATAACAGAAGCATTACTTTGTTCTTTTACTACCACTTTGTTCATTACTACTCTGCATGACTTCATCTACCCAAAAGAAGGCCAGGTAAATAAAGAAAACTGCAAACAGGACAAGTGAACCAAACAATACACAAAGTACATTAAGTTTCAAACATCTACTAGCTACCTCATTTCATGTCATGTATTACCAGAAATATCAATCCTTATTTGGTGTTATAATTTTCCATTCTGTATCACATAACCTCCCTTCCATCACTTCACAGTAACTCAGAAGCTGGAACTCTTATGCAAGGTTGCACAAACTTCAGATCTTACTCTGTAAAAGTACCATATTTGCAATACTACTTAGGCATTTCTTAACTACTTAATGTATGCAAAACTGTACTATCCTTTTATTAAATTTCTAGCTTTATAAAAATCTACCGCTGATAAGGTTTTGAATTTTATTACCCTAAAATTCTCTCATAAGCCCTGTAGTTTTTATTACGTAACATTGTATACTAAGTCACTTTAAGGAACACGTAATAGCACGTTATAGCAAAACTGACTATACACTATCCTGTTTAAGTGCATAAAAATATAAATAGCACAGTATGTTAAATAAACACCTAAATTAAAGCTCACATGAGCAGAACAGTAATCCTTGGAATAAAGTTAGCAAATTCAGTTTTACCTACTTAACAAAATATGCTTTGGTGGAAACAGCTTCAAATTCCAAAAGCACTTTTTAAAATAAGCTGTAGTTTATTTCTAGCATAGTTTATGATCTACTAGGAGGAGAGAAAGAAGGAAAAGGGAGAAGAGAGGAGAAGAGAGAGACAAAGAAGGAATATGGAACAAAAGGAACCAACCACAAGAATCAAGTTAAGGTTATGAGGTGGAAATGTAGTGAAGAACTGAAACCTTTGTGTACTATTGGTGAGAATGCAAGGTGAGATCTTTTTGGAGTGATGAAAATGTTCTAACACCAAATGATGATAACATTCATACAATTGTAACTTTACTAAAAGTCAATAATTGTACACTTAAAACAAGTCAATTTTATAGTAGGATATATATTACACCTCAATACATAAAGATGTCTGAAAGGAGGAAACAGAGGCAGAAAAGATAGATTTATATAAGCAATCAAACTACACTGTCATTTGAATAAAAGATAAAAAGGACAACATTCCAGTCTAGGGGAATAATTTAAGAAAAAGAATTAACGGAGAAATGAGATGGTATAAAGGCAAGTTCTGACAACAGGAGTTCCAACAAACATGTAAGTTTACCTATGTAAGAATGATACATCAATGACAAGCTCATGAAGGGACTTCAAAACTAAGCTCAGAAAATGGGATTTCACAAATGAGCAATCATAAATCATTGTTTATTATACTAATAAAGTTAGAAAATAGAGTGGTGGACACACAGACCCTAGAATTTATGAAAGGACATTCTGAGACATGTAAAGTGGGACCTTATAGTGACAGACGGATGATTCTGAAGTTGACGTGATAAAAGCAATGTGTCTGTTAAGCCCATTATTCATATTTTCCATTTAAATCATTACTATTATGACATGTCGGTATAACATCATATCATACCATGACAAATACTCTATTTGCAGAAACAATAGTGTTAAGTCAGACTAAACAAACAAAGGGAACCAATCATTTCTTGTCTGAAATTGTCTTGTATGCTTCTAGCTTCTTTTCTTCAACCAAACTTTATTTCTTTTTTTAAAGGATTCACAGTACAAATGCTCCTCAATTTATGATGCAGAGACATCCCAATAAAACCATGACAATTTGAAAATGTATTTTGAAAATGCAGAAGTCGAAAATGCATTTAATAGACCTAACCCACCAAAAATCACAGCTTAACACCACAACATACTGTAGAGCATTAATTATTTATCCTGTGATCCCCTGGTTGACTGGAAGCAGCAGCTCACTGCTGCTGCCCAGTATCACAAAAGAATATTATACCACATATCACCATCCCAGAAAAATATCAAAATTCAAAATATGGTTTCCACTGAGTGCTTACTGCTTATGCCTTATAGTAAGATAAAAAAATCATAAGTCAAGTCACTATAAGGTAAGGAACATTTATTTGTACTCCTACTTCTAAAACAAGTTTCCATTTTAAAAATGTAAAGTCGAATAGATCTTCTGAATGCCTGTCTCTATTAAAGAAAGTACAACAATAAGTAATAGTCTTCCAAAACAGCCCCACAGCCAGACAGGTTTACTAATGAGCTCTACGAAACATTTAAGTAAGACATGGTAGTATTTTTCTATAACATTTTCCAATAAATAGGAGAAGACATCCTTCCTATTTTACGAGGCCAACATCACCTTAATACCCAAATCAAAGATACTCCAAGACAACTACAGAACAATTATCTCCCATGAATACAGATGTAAAAATCATCAACACATTATCACCAAACTGAACCCAACAATACATGAAATGAATTAAACACAAGGATAAAATGGGATTTATCCCAGGTATACAAAGTTGGTTCAACATTCAAAAATCAATTAACAGGCTAAAGAATAAAAATATAATGGTATCAATAGATGAGGGAAACGCATTTAATGAAAGTACAACATCCAATCATAATAAAAACTCTCAGCCAATTAAGAACAGAAAGGGACTTCTTCAATTTTATGAACAACATTTGTTGAAACAAATAAACCTAACATTATATTGAACGATGAGAAACTTGAAGATTTCCTAAGATCAGAAATAAGGCAAGATGTTCCCTCTCACCCTCACCACTGCTTTTCAACACTATTCTGCAAATCATAACTAATGTAATGGGACAAGAAAAGGAAATAAATGGCATATAGGTGTGATAGTTAACTGATTATGTCAACTTGGGTAAGAATCACCCAACTAAATCAGCATTGTTCTAGGTATAGAAGACCAACCCGAGGGAGGATTGTCACCAGTATGGTATAAAAGGGAAATGAAGAAGGAAGGTTTGCTTCTGTTTCTCCAGAGAAATTCCATTCTTCATCTTCAGCTTGGATTTTGTCTCCTGACTTCCAATGCAGACTCTTAAGCCTTCCAGCACATATCCTTCCACTTCCAGCATAGACCCTTGGGTCTACTGATATGTACGCCCATGGAACACTACAGCAGGCTCCAGGCCTTCAACTGAATCCTTTGGACCTCCAGTGTGCAGACAGCCCTTCTGCATTCTTCTACATTTGACTCTGTGGGCAGCCATTATAAGCCAATCTTGTAAATTCTTGTGTATTTGTATATCTTGCATTAAATCTGTTTTACTACTAAGTATTGACTAATACAGATTTTGGTACCAGTGAAGTAGGGTCGCTGTTGTGACTGTACCTGACCATGTGGTTTGGGAGTCTTTGGAACTGACTTGCAGGAAGAGTTTACAAAAGTTTGGAGATGCTGGCTAAAGAAGCAGTCCTGAAATGCTTTAAGCTGGTCAGAGCTTGGAAGACCAGAATGCTGATCGAAATGCTGCTAGTAAAGACCAGGTTCTGGAGGTTTCTGCTGGGAAGAAGGACTATACTGGCATTGGACTCCAGAGCACTTGTGTTATGCTTTGGCAGAAAAGTTGTCTGCATTTTGTTTGTGTCCAGAGACTTTGCCTGAGACTGACATTAAGTAGGATGGACTAACTAAACTGGCAGAAGAAATTTTAGGCCAGTCTAATGTTGAAGCAGTAGCATAGCTACTGCTGGGGGCTTTTACCCAAATATATATTAAGAATCAAGAGCAAAGCACATAGTAGAATGATTTAAAACATGTGTTTTGGCCAGAAGGAAAGTTACAATGAAGTTGACAACTGCAAAGATGGAGAAGAGGAGAATTTGACTGCTGAGAAGGAAAAGAACAATAGAAAAGACAGGTTGAGGACATTACAACAACCAGCAGGACCACAGTCTTTGCTGTTGCAAAATTGCTAAAGTGAAAGACTTTGCTTTGAGAAGAGAGCCCCCAAGCACTGTGTTCCAGAATGGCAGTGGCCTAGGGAAGTAGTTCCCTGGGATTTGGCTCCTAGTGCTAAGCAATCCAGCCACTCAACTCATATAATGAAGAGAAGAAGCCTGGCTACTGTTCCAGCTGGCAGCAGACCCTGGCATCAAATATGTGGTGCTGGCTTTAGGTGTATGCAGAATGCAAGAGTTGTGGGGTCAGGAAGGCTTCTGCCCTGATTTCAGAATGTTGGAAGGCCAGGTAGTATGCCTCTGAGAGGGCAGTGGGTGAAGCTATAAGTGTGAAGTCAAAGGAGCAATGGAGACCCCAGAAGGCTGGAGAAGCTAGGAGCATGGATCATCTGAGGAAAGCTGCAAGGAGTAAGCAAAGCCAGCCCAAGGGAGAAGCCATGGAACCTAAAATTGCCAGAAATGCCATAGAGGTGGAGCCACCAAGCCTTTTGGAGTTCTCAACTTGTCACACACTTCCAGGGGTGCTGGACATAGAACTCAAGGATTTAATGTTTGCCCTGCTGAATTTTGGTCTTGTTTTGCTCCCATTTCTTTCTATCTCCCTCTTTGTACCTTTTCTAATGGAAATATATTTTATGCCATTATATGTTAGAAGTGTTTAACTTTCTTTTCATTTGTACAAGGGTTTGCAGCTAAAAGTCTACCTTATATCTCAGAAGAGACTTTAGATTTGAACTTTATAGCAATGCTGAAACTGTTAGGACTCTGGCAACTCTTAGAGATGGACTAAATGACTTTTACAAAAATGGAAGAGACTTTAAAGGTCTAAGGGCAGAATGTTATAGTGTGTATCTAGACGTCCCCCCAAAACCTCATGTGGTCATGGGGGGCGGTTCAGAGGTGGCTGGGAATAAGGGGGCCTTACCCTGGGTGTGAGTGCTACCTGTGGGTAGCCTGGATGGAATATAAAGGACAGAAAAAGGGCTTCTGCTATCACTTGCTGCTTGCTGCTCCTTGCTACTTCATTGCTTGCTGCCTTCTGCCTGCCATACCATGAACTGTTCTCCTCTGTGATGCTCCTATTCTATGCCACCCTGCCTGAGAATCAGCTGAGTAGGGACTGAAACCACTACAAACTGTGAGCCAAAATAAACCTTTCCTCCTTTAACTTTGGGTGTTGGGTACTTTGTCTCAACAACAAGAAAAGTAACTAAGATAAATTTTGAAAGGAAGAAATAAAACTGTCTTTGCTCACAGTTGACAGGCTTTTATACATAGAAATTTCAAAAGAATCAACAACAACAACAACAAAATCCTGAATAAGGGATTACAGAACAAGGCTACAGGATACAGTGTTAATATACCAAAGTTAATTGCATTTCCATACCAACAATCACCAAGTGTAACATGAAATAACAAACAGTATCATTGATATAGCATCCCAAAAATGAAATAGATATAAATTTACTAAAATATAAAAAAGACCTATATAAAGACCTATGTGTGAAATCTATAATAAAAGAAATCAAAGCAGATCTAATTAAATGACTAAAACCCAGAATACTGGCAACAAATGTTGGAGGAATATACAGCACCAGAAATGTATTCATTGGCTGGTAGGAATACAAGTAGTAGGGCCAATTTGGAAAACAGCTTGACAGCTTCTTAAAAACATATCTTATATGATCTATCAATCATGTTCCTTGGTGTTTACCCAAGGAAATTGGAAACTTATGTCCTAACAAAAAACTGCATATGGATGTTTATAGCAGTTTTATTCACAACTGTCAAAATGTGGAAGCAACCAAACTTCTTTTTTAAATGGGTAAACTGTGGTATATCGTGAAATATTATTATTATTCAGAACTAAAAAAAATGAGGTAATGAAGCCATAAAATGACATGAAGGAAGTCTTGACACGTTAGCAAATGAAAAAAGCCAATCTGTAAAGGCTACATATTATAGGACTCCAATTATATGACATTCTGCAAAAGCAAAACTATACAGACTATAAAGATTAGGGGTTGGGGAGAGAAAGTGGAAGAATGGGCAGACCAGAGGAATTTTTAAGGCAGTAAAACTATTCTGTATAACATTATATTGGTAGATATGTCACTATACACTGTCAAAATCCACAGATTAAATAATATAAGTGAACCTTAATGTAAATTACAGACTCTGAATAACAATGATGTGTCAATATAGATTCATCAATTGTGACAAAGGTACTACTCTGGAGAAGGACAGTGATAGTGCAGAAGTCTATGCATGTGGAGGTCAGGGAGTATATAGGAAGTCTGTACTTTCTGTTTCATTTTGCTGTGAGCCTAAAGAGCTCTAAAAAATTAAATATATTTAAGTTAAATATATTTAAAATGTGTGCATATGTAAGTCAAATAAACAAAATCACAAGTTATGCGACTTAGGTTTCTACCATTTGAATGCTTACTTTTAAAACTGAATTTCTCTCTTTTGCTTTTTTAAGCATACAAATTGATAAGTGTATGCACAAATCTTTCTCTAGGTTTTTTGAAGTACCTAAGACTCAAGGTACTTAGAGAACTAGCAGTCAAATATATGAGGCAAATGACATAATAATGTATGATTTCAATAATTCAAATTTGAGCTTAAAGATCCATAATATATATGGTAATTTTTCTGATACAGAAATATAATTATATTATCTTGAGTCTGAAGAACAAAAATGAGTCAACAATCTATTTTATGAACACAAAAAAGAAAAAAATTTGATACCTCAACTGGAGTTTTGTTCATATAAAATACAAACTTAGACATACACACAAAAAAATCCTAAAAGATATTACTTCTGAAAACTATATTGCTGTTTTATAGAATCAGTGTTCCAACTACAGTACCCTTTAACACTGTTTATACATATAAAAATTATCTTCCTGACAAATGGGAGTGTGCTTTTGATTTTACTTGCATACCTATTGATTCTGATGTAGCATTCGGAGAAATACTAAAAAACTGACATTGTCCTGTCACTCGGTTGCATATCAAGTTAAGATAATGTTAAGAGCATAAACTTCAGGCAGGTGGAGTAGGTTTGAATGACAGTTCCACTATTTCCTACCTGTGTGATCTTGGGCAGTTTATAAAGCCTATCAAATCTAATTTTGCAAATGATGATAATGAATAAATTTTGAAGGTAAAATGAATGCAAATCTTAGCAAATACTAAACACATTAAAATGCAAGTTATTATTAAATTAAATACTTTTTGGTTTATACACCGCTCTCTACATCACATTTTTATTTCTAGTTTATCACTAGATAAACTAAACACTAGAGACTCAACTACTTATCTTTAAAAAATGATACAATCAAATAATTTGTATGCCTAATAATAGTTTAGCATATGTAAAAGGAAACAACTACTTTTAAAGTGCAATTTATTAAACAACATAATAAACCACTTACTGATATCTATCCTCTGTTCAATAGGTAAAGGGCTGATTCGGCTGGTAAGTTTTGAAAGACATGTTGCTGCAAGGAGCTGAGCATAGGATGTCTGGAAAGAATAATTAAATTTTTTATTATTACCACAAATAAAGTTAGACTAGTGGAAATATGTTAGTAATTTTTTCCTAAGTAAATATAAGAATTTTTCTGGTTTTCTAAACTGGTAGATTTATAAAGAGTACAATATATTTCAGATATCTATATTCAAATGTATACACACACACACCTACACACACTCATGCATGAGGGATCATTAGTTGGTCAAGGTGGAAATAGTCATCTCAACAACAGAAAGTAATCAGGAAAAATACATAACTATGAGCAAGTTCAGATAAAATATTCTTACCATGGTCTACACAACTCTGCATAACCTGGCCTCTCACTATCTCTTCAAACACATGTAGTCCCTCTCTTTACGGTGCTCTGACCATGACAGCCTTTCAGTTCCTTCAGATGCCATCCCCACCCTGATTTCTGTGTTGCTCAGATTTATGCCTGATTATGCTCTCTGGCCTCCAATTTGCTGAATCACATACTCAAACCTTCTAAATACATAATAATCCTTGAAAATTCAGTTGGTATTCAGTCCACTTCTAGGAATTTGTTACCAAGATAGTCCGTTTTTCCCCCCTCTCTACAATTGTTTTTGCATCACCTGTGAACTAAGAATGGCTTTTTTTTTAGAAGTTTTAAACAGTTGAGGGGGAAAATTAAATAAGAATATGTTTGACATGTAGAAAATACACATAAAATCCAAATTAAAACACAGCCATGCTCATTCATTTACATACTATCTATAATTGCTTTCAAGCCATGATGGCAGAATTGACTAGTTCTAAAAGAGAGACCAAATGTGGTGCTCTCTGTTTCCCACTCCTGTTCAATGCACCATAAAGTGATACAGTAGTAACTCCTTAGTGCCTATAGTAGCTTAGGTATTGCCCTGACATGACATGTACCTTTCATTACTACCTATGTACATCTATCATATCAAAACAAGGTAAGATAAAAGTGGACTTCAAATGTCTAATTTTTAAGGCACACTACTGAATTAGATGGCAAAGCAATATACTCTTTTTCCCAAGGATGCTATCACTATCCTAAAAGAATGCAGTACTTATTATCAAACTAAGTAGTCATCGTAATATTCTCAACTCACAGACAATAGACAAAGTAGAAAATTTGCAACGGACTATTTCATCACAGCAGAATTTCTTTACAAAAATAAAATGAGGGTGCAACCAAAGTTAAGTTTCCAAGTGGCTCATTTGTTAAGAAAGGAAAACCACTTAATAATGATGCATTAATTAAATCACCATTGTTTTATTCTACCAGCTGAAGTTATATATACAGAGAAAATAAACTTTCAGTGAGAACAAATGCTCAAAGAATTGATGACAATGGAGCAACATCAAAAGTCAATTTAGGAACCAGACAAATAATTTGGAAAGAGTATTATTAGCTTTTAGTGAGTGGATAGATGTTACTAGTGTTGCTCATACTAGTAATGTTACAAATATTTACTATCACTTTATTTTAGAGGTAAATGCGGAGTATGAGGAAACTAAGGAATTCCCCTCTGTGAATACACTGCATGAAATTGTAAGCCAGAATATTTTTAAACAAGTTAAGGAAAAATTAATTCAATATAACTTGCACAGAATCTACTAGGCACTGCTGGTAAAAAATATACAGCACAGGAATGGGGACATAGCTCAATGGCAGAGTACTTGCCTAGCACAAACAATTACCTGGGCTCAATCACCAGAACTACAAAATATATACATATATTTTTATTTATGTATGTAAGTATATATATAAAATGCAGAAAAGGGCTTAAGTGCACAAATTTACATAGCTTGTTAAAAATAAGTATTATTCATTAACAGATATTACATAGTAAATATATGACTATCATAAATTATTAAATCAGGGGTGTTAACCATGAATTTCATTCATTTTTGTGAATTTGTATTCAATTCTGTGAGTTTCTGTGAGGTACAGCAGCTAAATAACCTGAGTTGTCCTACCTATCACACAGTGGTTTATTATCTTCCCAGTGCTAAAGCTGTACTGTAAGTTTTTTAGCTCAAGGCTGAGAACAAAATTTTTCTGGATAAAAAGACCAAGCCTCTACCATTCAACACTAAATGCATTTGGAAATTACCTTTAGCTGTAAACTTAAAAATGTCTCTTAATGAATTCAATCTGTAGTTACAAAATTGCCTAAAAGACAAACAACGCTTAATACTACTTATATCCAGAATGACTATAATGACAAACATTAAAGTCACTTCAATAACTAACGGTGTTTGAATCATAAGTAATGTGAATTTGCTTTACACATTTCTTATACTGCTGAAGTTAAAACAAATACTGAGATCTCTACCCCAAGATATATTTTCTGACTTCCAACTACAGTTCCAGCAGCACTATTTAGATCTTGATTCAAGTATAAAGGAAATTTCTATACTTCAAAATCCATTTAGCTGTGCAATTGAGGAGATTCCACCTAATCTTCAATTGGAAGTCATTAATCTGCAATGTGATGACATGCTGAAAGGCAAGTATCTAAAGAAGATTTAATAGAATTCTATAAATGCCTTCTAAGTGATGAATATGCTTAATTAAAATCATATGCTCATGGATTAATATTAGTATTTGGCAGTACCTATCTATGTGAAAAGACATTTCAAAGATGAGGTATGTATAATTTCATTATAGCTCAACATTAAACTATGAAAACTTTCAATCAATGTTGATAGGAAACACAAACTTTGAACTCCAATTAATCTTCCAAATGCTCAGAATTATTCTATTCATTAACAGACCTGTATTACCAAAAAAAACTACACTTGATCACTGTATTTTGAATGTTCAACGAAACTGTGTGGACATTTGTTTTTCTCTCTTGTTATAAATATAAAAGAACGTCCATTTTTCTTCTTGGACCCCAAAGCCTGAAATATTTACCATATGGCCCCTTAGAGAAAAAGTTTGCCAACTCTGGTCTAAATCATGCAGTCTAACCATACAGCTTACCATACCATCTCATAGCTCTTTATTTACACATCTATGCCCCTGCAACTAAACAATGAACAACCTTCATTCATACACATAAACCAAGTCAGCAGTATAGTGCCTGGTTTTACATTTAAATACAGTACATGCTAAATGACAGTTTAATGAACAGTTATAAATAGAAGGAAAACAGATAATAGACAGTAAGCATTCTTCTGAATAATCTTTTTTTTTTTTTTGTTTATAACCCATCTCTACCACCTAGATTTTTTTAAAGCTGTATTTTAAAAATGGAATTTTTGCCCACTAGTATGAAGTAAAAAGGGGCTAAGAAAAATCAAGAAACTATTTCAATACAGTCCCAATTCTGCCTCCTGGGTTTTCCCTAAATATGCTTACTTGGACTTCCAATTCCTTTCTTGATTAATCTCTTCGACAGTGAAAAAATATAGTTTTTTTTAAAAGTGGTAAAATGTATTAGTATCATTGCTAATACACAGGAGTTCATTAACACCAATGTATATATAGTGATCTTTCATGTTACCAAATACTTACTGTTCCTTGTTCTAATAAAAGTTGACACTTGCTGAGACATTCTGGGCTGTCAATAAGTTCCAAGAGTGCTTTCTCAGCCTCTATTCTTTGTGAAAGATCAGTCTCTACGTAGAGATGAGTACATAACAATTCCAATTCGGCCAAACTCTTGAGAAGAAAAAAGTTAATATTTTACTTGAATAAAAAAATATAGAGAGACCATAATATAGAGAGATACAAAGAAAATAAAAGATGAAGATATCATGCCTGCATACTTTAATACATATTTATCAAGTCACAACTATTTACTTGGGAATCAGTGAGAAACCAAACAGATACATCTCTTACTTCTCAGATTACTTACTTAAAATCTGTTAGTTATGCAATGGAAATGTAAGAGTACAGAAAGGAGGAATTTGCCTAATCCAAAGAGTTAGAAAGGGTATACCTGAAGAAGTAACATTTATGCTAGAATGAAAAAAAGAGCAGAAGGTAGTCTTGGCAAAGAAATAGCACTTACCAAGGCCATGCAGTAAAATGGAATTAGCCATTTTACTAAATTCCATTTTACTAAATTTAGCCATTTTAAGGCATTAAAAGGTCATGTCGCTGGTAAACAGCAAAGGGGAGATACCAGATAAGGTTAGAAAAGGGTGGGGGAAACAATAATACACACTTTTGTTGTTTTGTTTTGTTTTTTCTCCGGTACCAGGAACCGAACTCACGACCTTGCGCTTGCCAGGCAGGCGCTTTGCCGCTGAGCTAAATCCCTAGCCCCAATAATACACACTTTATAGATCACTCAATTTATGTTCTTTTTACTATAAAAATTTCAATTGTTCCATCTATAAAAAAGAAATATTGATAATTATAAATATATACTGATTTGGAGCTTCTAAACTAATGGCTTGTACTGCTGCAGGTGAATTATATCATTATACTTGATCTTGTAATCTTTCCAGCAATGTAATAACTAATTAGTATGTGGGCACCTATGTAATAACTAATTAGTAGAAAGACTAATTCATTCTGTTTACAAATATAACATCATCTGAAGATATAGGACACATGGGAATAATTTGAAAGAATTAAAAAATGAGTTTAGTATTCTTCTCAGCTTAAAAGAATTTTTGTTAAAGCCATTTTACTAAAGCAAATTACTTCATTTTGAGCTAGAATTAGAAAATTATTCCTTGGAGGACAAAAATACTGGCACAGACTTCAATAGGTGATAGGCAAATGAAAGTAACAAGCTATTCCTAAGGAAATGCCAATTTTGGTACTTTTTTTGGCCTGAATTTTTATGTGGCAGCCTTACTGCTACATTACTCCACACACTCCCTCAATACATATACTGAACCATCTTATAAAAGGAATATACAAGTAGCAATGAAATGAGCTCCCTCGTAGCTCTCAATATGTTTTTACTTTGCTCTCCTGCTTAGCTGCTCCAGAGTTATTTCTCCCCTTTCTTATCCAGATCAGAGCCCAGCATCCCAGACTTGGGTATTCTCTGCTACCATGAAAATAAACCTAAAAGTGAAGTTTCAAATGGATTAATTATAATATAGGACCTCAACATTTTAAACATTTCCTCTACCTAGACTGACACAATAAGCCCAAATTACCACTACATACTGTTTAAAATATTAAAATGCACAGAAAATATATTCATGGTTCATGAATTCTCAGATTTTGCTTGGGTGAGAAATACAAAAATAAAAAGCGCTTCCCCTCCTCACAATAAACTTCAGAAGTCTTTTCATTTACCTACTAAATTTTAAGGACAAAATTTTTGAACTCATGATATCCAGAATAATGTAATATAGGCTTAAGATTTTTTGAAGTAGGCCAGAAATAGTAATAAGACCTGTTTAACAAAACGGAAGGCAGCAAAAAGGGGAGAATAACAATAGTGTTTTACCTCACAAGACTGTTTGGATAATTAAATGAGTTAATGCCATGTAACTTGTGGTACACAGTACACATTATAAAGGCTAGCTGTTTATTATTACTACCTTATAGTTACTCTTTAACAGGTTGAATTATATCTTTCTAAGAGATAGGTCCAAGTCCTAACTCTCAGTACCTACAAATGTGACCTTTCTTGGAAATAAGGTACAGTATTTACAAATTTTTAAATAATTAAGCATCTCAGGATGATACCATCCTGGATTTACAGTGCAGCCTAGAGCCAATTACTATTTTCCCTTTAAGAAAAAAAAGAGCAGAAAATTTGAGATGCATAGAGACACAGGAGATAACACCATATAAAGATGGAAGTACAGATTGGAGAGATGCATCTATAAACCAGGGGATGCCAGGGATTGTTAAAAGTCATCAAAAGCTAGCAAAAAGGAGTAAAATGGTTTTCCTTCAGAGGCTCCCATAGGAATCAACCGTGTTCACTTTGATTTCAGCATTCTGACTTTAGAACTGTGAGAGAATAAATCTGTTGTTTTACGCTATGCAGTCTGTAGTAATTTGTTACAAGAGCCCTGTAAAACTAATACAGAGAAAGAAAGAGGGAGAAGAGGGAGAGAGGGAGATAGGAAAAGAAGGAAAGAGGAGGAGAAGGAAAGGAATCAAGCAAACTGGGCATGGTGGCACACATCTGTAAATCCCAGCTACTCAGAAGATTGAGGCAAGATGATCACAAATTCAAGGCCAGCCTGGGCAACTTACTGAGATCCTGTCTCAAAATATAAAAAAATTTTTAAAGGACTGGAGATGTAGCTCAGTGGTACAGCATCCAAGGTTCAATTTCCAGTACCACTACCCAAGAAAACAAAAAATAAAACAAGAACAAAATTAATACAAATACCATTACTAATTAATTCAATGGCACTTAAATACCTAAGTAAACCTATGTGAAAGGATTCTGGAAAAGTCGGGAAACTTTTTTTAAATACTGATTTAATGAACCTCAAAATAGAATGGGACTAAAATATATTTAAATAATATCTAAGTCAACAATATTAACAAGCACACCTTCTTCCCAAAGATATTTCAAATTTATTAACAAATGAAAATGGTACAAGATTAAAAGGGAAAAGTTTGAACTTTCTTTTACAAAAGATGTGAAAAAAAAAAAAACTTCTTTCTCTATAATGGTAACAAACACATGCCTGGTATAGTATACCTTTTTAGAGAAAAGGATACATACATAAAGACCCTTATCCTGCTGGTAAAGTATTATCCTGGCATTGCTAACAAATTAAGCAAACTTCAGATTAGCACGATTTTCCAGAGAATCTACCTACAATTTTTATTTTTTCATAGTAGACTAATAAATTTGCTTCTTATGCTGATGTCCAAACATGTTTAAAATGTGATGTCTGAGTCTCAATTTGTTGACAAATCAGGATTGGGTTATGAAATTTCTACAAGACAATATCAACATAAGAAGCTCATATTTAAAAAATTACTAAGCAGAACAAGGAGGACTACAGATCACATAACCCTTATAAAGTAACTATCAAATATAAGAAGATAACACTCAGCTTCCACAATCTAGTATACGGTGATGTAATCCTGATTGCAGTCTAAATAAAGATCATCTTCCTAATTATTCTAGACTTACTTCTGTCCTTTGTACTTGATACACAACTGGCCCCCAAATGATGTGACTTCTTTCTGGGCTGCAATTCCCATACATATATTTATCAAAAGGAGAATGCTGAGTAAAAGCCAAACAAAAAGATTATATTGTATGGTTCTTTAGCAAAAAGCGGATTACTGGTTTCCTGGCTGGAGGTAGTGGATACAGCAGAAGAGTAAGGAAGAGGGAGAAAGCCCCAAGGGACAGTAAAGGAGCACAACACAAGGAAACTTTTGGGAGTGACAGACACTCAATTTCTTGATTTCAGTAGCAGTTTCACAGAAATATGTATATGCCAAACTCATTCTCTTGCACAGTTCAAATGTATGCATTTTATTATGTCAATTATAAAAATTTTCATATATTCAATAAAAGAAAATAAAGACTTCTATTCTATACCCTAATAACAACAAACCAACCAGGAAAGTCTCATTTCAAATGAATTTAAATGCCTTTTCAATTACTTCCTTCTATCTTTCCTGCCATCAGAAATTAAGCATCTTAACTGTAGTAATAGAAACTGCTTTAATTTTGTAGTTATTCATTTCCAACAAACTTTCTTCCTCCTCTTACTACCTTTTCCTGAGTATCCCTGAAGCTTTACTACTGAGCCTCTTGGAACTTTCCCATCTGTGACGAACTGGATAACATTTGATTAAGAGCTTTTCAGTTTACAAAAGTATTCCTATCTTTTCTCAAACCTATTATGAAAAACAGACTCCTTTAAAGAATGTATTTTCAGTATGAAAATACATTTTACAGATGAAAAATCTGAAGCTGACAGATCAAATATATATAAGCTGCTCAACAGCAAATACAAATGGTCAATTCTGCACCAAATACAAGTCTACAGACTCCAAACACATGCTCCAAACAGTTCTCATAGTCTGCCTTCTTGCCACCCTTTATTTCAGTCATCATCTATTGCAGATCATGTCCTAATTCTACTGTAATTGTTTATACATCATCTTCATAGTGTCTACAAATGCTCTCCTCCCAGAAATCCAGAAAGATGCTAAAAATGACCCTTTAATATGAGAAACTGAATTGAACGTATTTCCCATAGATTCCTATTTAAGTCTCCCCTTGTTTTTGACAGTTTTGAAAGTCTAGATCAGGATCTAGATTTACAAGCTTGATGTTATCTTTTGCTTTTCCTTCTCTTTAGTCCTTCCTATACAGTAAAATATCTGGCCTTGCCCAAATAGAGGTGTGGCCTTGCCCTCAGCTTCTAGGAGATAATCTATGTCATATTGGACAGGTACGTTGTTTAGGACAGGGGTTGAACATAACTGATTTTTAAGTCTTGTATCTAAGATGTCCCCCCAAATCTACATGTGCTCATAGGTGAGGCTTTCTGGAGGTGGCTAGATCTAGAATGTTTGAATATGGATTATGGGTGTGTGATAACTGGATTACTCCACTGACTGGACTGGTGTGCTTCATGGTTGAATGGACTTACTATAGACAGAAAACACACCCTGGTTGTGAATGGCAACAACCAATAGGTTTGTAACCTGGATAGAATAAAGAGGAAAAGGAAGGCTAGCAGCTACTGCTACTTGCTGCTTCTTGCCTATCCTGCTTTGCCATGGACTCTTTGCCATGCTACCCTACCTCAGAGTCAGCTGACTCAATGAAACCTCTACAAACTATGAGCTAAAATAAACCTTTCCTCCTTTATCTTGTGAGGTCAGGTATTTTGTTCCAGCAATGAGAAAGTAACTGAGATACTGACAGTACTAAGTTGGGGACTGGTCACATCAGAAAAATCAACTATATGTTTTAGGGTGGTGACTCTGAGTTACAAGGTATCAATGGAACTAGAAATCAAGTTCAACCATGAAGGCAATCAATCAATCTTACCAAAGTAATGAAATGACAATAAACATACTGAGTACTGAAGCTCAGGTGAATATCCCTAGTTTGCAATACCCATGGTGCACAATGCCATCCATTGATATGGGGAGAATAACATGTCCTGAAGCCAACAACAGCTTTGTTTTGGAGCCTTCCCTAACTACCCTGTTTCCTTCCTCTTACCAATTTTAATCTGTATCTTTTCCCCATAAAGAACTAAAATTGTGAGTCCTGACAGCTTTCAGTGAATTCAGCAATCCTTCTGATCAACTGTCAAAACTGAGAGTGGTTTTGGGAAACCCCTGAATTTGTAGTTGGAATCAGGACAGCCTTATGCCCAGTATTCTCAAATTGCAGTCTGAGGAACTCTAGGTACCTTCTAAATTTGTCGTAAAATTCTAACAATTCTTCTTCTATAAAGACTCAGAACCAACACCTCCACATGCTATTAAGAGACAATGAAACAATCAAGTATTTTCTAATTGTGGCCTTCAGTACCCTGGATTTCTTCAGTGGCTGCTTTAATAATAAGAAAAAATAGTAGGGGGGCCTTAGAAGCATCACAGTTAGATTTTTTTAAAACACCAGTCCAACAGAGAGGACACAAGCATTAGAATCTATTACTCACTTTTTCAGTGAGAATTATTCAGGGAAAATTATTTAACCTTTCTAATCGTCACTGCTGAAACTGAAGATAGAAATGATCCACTTTCTAAAATGAAATTGTGAAGACTGAAAGAGAAAAGACTGGAAAGATTCAGTGTCTACTATAGATCAGATTCACAATACATTAAAAATAATTATTCTGTTCAGTTACTGATAATTATAAGACAATATTGATTTTTTTATAGTTTCTTGCATTCAAACCAATGCTGCCACAATTTTTCCCAAATTGCTTTTTCATCATGCTACCACTGTGTTCAAGAACAGTTCAATCACATCTACATCAAAGCAGGTAGCCTGACTGGGGATTAAGAAGCATGGCCACAGTCTCTGGTTCTAGGACCATCCTGAGAGCAGAAACATTCAACCAAGCCCACTAAATTTTTTCTGATATTATCTCTTGATTATCACCAAAGTCCTTCATTTCTCTTTAAATACATACAACTAGCTTGATCCCAGTTCTATCTCTTTCCTCTCACTCTCTTCCTCTACCTGGACTGCCTCCTCAAAGATAATCCAGATCCATTATCTCTTTTGGGAAAGAATACCCTAATCAAAGTTTTCTAGCCAGGATGCATTGTGCATGGAATGGGTTACAGGAATGTTTCCATTCTCCAGCCCTCTAGATAGCCAGGGCAAGATTTAAGACAGAAACATCCACACTGATACCCTTTGACTATAAGGAGTTTATGTCAATGAGTCACAAAACCACCATGATGTTAAAAAGACAATAGGGCAGGGCTCTAACCTCACCCTAGAGAAGTCCATTTATTTGTTGTCTTGATGATATAACTTTTAACTACCTATCCTAGATATAGGTTGTAGAAAGAACACAGAATTTATGAGTTATTAGGCCTACTTTAGATGTGTAACCTTGGACAAGTCACAGGTGTTATAAGGTGTTCTTCAGGAAGAAAAAACAAATTCACACCTTTTGAGCAATAAAGTATACATACACATTCTCAGTAGTATAACTCAACTTTACAAAGAGCAAATGAAAACTCAAAATGTTAGGAAATAGTTATCACAATTAATGCTCCTGGAATTAAATGGCTAATAACATGGTACAATATGCTAAAAGGAACTCAAGATTGGGTGTGATGACACATGCCTGTAATCTCACCAACCCAGGATGCTGTGGCAAGAACACTGTGAGTTCAAGACCAGCCTGGGCAACCTAGGGAGACCCAGTCTGAAAATAAAAATTTAGAAAGGGTTCAGGGTATAGCTCAACAATAGAGTGCTTGCCTAACATGCACACGGTTCTGGGTTCAATTCCCAGTGCCAGAGTTTTAAAAAAAACAAAAACCAAAAACCTAGGAAGTTTCAATTATTTTCTGGTCACCAAAATTGATCTTTTATTTGTCCAACTCCACTTTTAAGGTATTCACAGCACTGCACTGCAAAGTACATCCTGGAAAACCAACATGGATGGTTTGTTTTTAGCATGTAATTTTTCCAAAACTGTACCTAAGTTTGAAGAACTCTTTGTGGACTTGCTGACACACCACATCACCTTTCCAAGTCTAAAAAAGTCCCAAAGTTTCCCCCTACTTATGTTATCCTCAAGATTGACACCTGCACTATAAACATCTCATTACTTATTTAAAATCCATAAATCTTCCCAGTGAGATTCTTCCTGTGAAAATTTCCCAGAGGGTTTATTAACAGAAAGTAGTAATTAATGTTATTTTGACCTGGGGACCTTTACAAATGGTAGAAGTCAAAAGGTAATGTGAAAGCCTCACCATATCCAAAGTCTACAAGGGGAATGTGATGTTTAGATACACTTACTGCCACCCTATTCTAAAATTGCCTGCCTCTCCAAAGTCATTCCCGTTACCCACAGACTCTTTTTTTCCTTTCATATGAACTGCATACTCCAACCACAAAGAATTTTCTACAGCATGGCATGGTCTTCCACAAGTTTTTGCCATGCCTCACGCTGTATTGCCTCTAGTCTTCCGTTTCTCTTTACCTGGCCAACATCTACGACTCGTTCCAAGCCTATTAGACTGTAAGTTTCCTTAGAGAAGAAATCCTGGAGCTCTGCTCTGAGCTGTACTTTCAGTGCCTAGTAGAGTAAGTACTAAATAACCAATTAAAAAGTAGAGAAATGGAAAGGAGAAGCAATCTGTGTCGGAGATGCATAGCAGCTCTCTGCTCCACTCCTCCCCAACTCAACTCACATACCTGACTGTCCTCTTTTCTGTGCTTCCCCGACAACCATTAACATTTTTCACGTGTACTGTAATTACCTTTGGGCTACGGGGGCAGGGATAGTAAGATGATGTCACCCCTTGCCCTCAGAACTTTGCGCTGTGTTTCAGACATCGGGGTAGCTCCACAGATGTTTGTGGAATGAATACCTGAAAGACGGTGGTCAGAGCTGCCCAGGGATACAAGGGCCGTCCTCCGGCAGCTCGCGCCCCATCCTTTGCGCCCTGTGCTTCTCGCGCTCCCCCAGCCCCAGATTCCTCCTCCGAAATTCCCTACTGGTAGAACTCCAGCCGCCTCCGGCCAATTCGTGTACATCTGCCGTCCCGCTCCTCTGGCAACCCGAGTGCCCCTCACACCTCCGCGTCAACAGCCGGGAGCAGGAAGGCGGGAAGGAAGGCTGCTGCTCCGCTCCCACCTGCCTGGGCGCCTGGGCGCCGGCGCGCAGGGGAGGGCGGGCCCGCACGGCCGCTCAGCCCCGCGCCAAAGGCGGACGCCCGCTCCTCCGCCCCGGGCTCCAGCCCGCTACTCCTCGGGCTCAGCCCCGACCAGGGGTGTGCGCCCCGGACCCGGCACGCGGCCCTGCGGCCTCTGCCGCCTTCCTCCGCCCTCGCTCTCCAGACCCAAGCCTCGCCGGGTTCCGGGGCCGCGGAGCGCGGGCCCGCGGCGCACCGCACACTGACCTGGAAGTGCTGCGCCATCTTCCCGGGAGGCGGCGCCGGCTCGCAGGCCGAGCGCCCTAGGGGAGGCGGAGGAGGCGGAGGAGGCGGGGTGGCGGGGAGGCGGGGAAGCTAGGAGGCCGGGAGGAGGGGAGGCGGGGAGGCCAGGGGTCCCCACGCCGCCTGCTCGCTCCCTCCTCAGGCCGTCGCCACTCCCGTCGGCGTTCGAAAGGCTGGGCTGGGAGGAGCCCGGGGCGGGGCGGGGCGGGGCCGAGGGGCGGGGCTACGGAGGCGGCGCGCGCAGAGCCCGCCCAGGGCGCGGGTCCTCCAAGGGCCCAAGGATCAACTGCCCTAGTGCTGAGTTTCAACCGCTGCAACCTAGCTGTGTCCTGACCTCCGACCTCTGTCCTTCGCCCCAGCTATCCCAACCCAACTGTCAGCAGTGGCCCCCGACTCTACCAGCAGCTCGCTTGACTTCTGACCTATTGCAACACCAATATCCCCCTTGGCTCCTAGCTCCAGCATCTCCATAGATTTTCTCACTGATACCCTTTGATTCCCACATGCCAACTGCTGCTCTTGACTCTTGACACCCTAGAGCCCAACTTCCATTATTCTTTATGAAAGTTCATATTTTGGTTAAAATTAAATGGATTGTGTCTACCTGGTGATGTAAAATTCTGGCTTAATTCACCTTGTGTACAGTTTTGTTTAAGAAGAACTTATATTTTACACCAGATTACTCCATTGCAATGACGATTTATTGGCACTTAAATGAAGACAGTCCATTCGAGGGTTCTTCATTTCTCTACAAGTTCAATACTTGCACTTGGGGACATTGTGTTTTCATATTTAAGGGGGAAATTTCTTCAATATTTTTTATGGTTTGCATCTCCGAACAACAAACTCAGCTTTTGTTAACATGAACGAATCTTTATTTAGCCTTCCTTGTTGAAAGATAGTTTTGCTGGGTATAAAATTCCACATTGACTTTTTGTTTAATCCTCCAGTATTTTAAAGATGTACTTCTATTGTCTTCTGATATCCTGATATTTCTGTTGGCAAGCCAGCCATCAGTCTGACTGTTACCCTTTGGAAATAATGTGTCTTTTCCTACCATCCCAGGCTACTTGAAAAATCTTCTTTTCCTTTTGTCTTCAGTAGTTTTACTTTGATGTTACTAAGACTGTGTCCATGGCATATTTATCCTACTTGGGATTTATAAAGTTTCTTAAACATATGATCTGATTTTTCATGAGTTTCTGAAAAATCTTGGCTAATATTTCTTTAAATATTCTTCAGTTCCCCTTCTCAACCAACTCCCTTCTCATTTTCAAACTCCTATTACAGGTATGTTAGAACTTTGTATTATAGTCTTTATATCTCTTACACAGTCTTCTGTACCTCTTTTGTCCTTTTTTTTTGAAGCAGGATCTTGCTATGTAGTTCAGGCTGGACTTGAACTCACTATGTAGTCTACAGTGGCCTTGAACCAATCACAATCCACCTGCCTCAGCCTCCAAAGTCTGGGATTACAGGTATGCACCACCACACCTGGCTTGTCTTTTTTTCTGTCATGCTTTGTGTTTGATGTTTTCTACTGACTTCTTGCCCATTCAGTAGAAACTACTTTGCTATGCCTGAGTTGCTGTACAACTCCTCTTTAAGTCTTAATTTTACTTATATTTTCAGTTCCACAATTCTCATTTACCCTTCACCTTTTGTTTTTTAAATCGATTTCAAAGTTCTATAAAATTCTTTATGTTTTCTCTATCTCCTTGAAATTTCAATCTATTATTTAAAGTGCCTATCTGCTAACTGCAATATCTCAACATCTGAGTCTTCCTCTGGTATGTGGCATTTGGCCCTGTTTTGTCTCATAGTCCCCTCACATCCTCATACCTCATTGAATTCAAATAGTGTGGATGGAGTGAAGGGCTGTGGATGATATCAGTTTTCTTATCTTTTCTTAAGTTATATTAGTAGACAGAAGGATCACCATAATCCTAATTGAAGCTTAGCTTCAAGCTTTTTAGTGAGTGCTGCTTTATTTCAGTTTATTTATTTATTTTTAATCTCAGTTTTATACTTACTTTTAGGTCATGATCTTTACTGGATCTTTACTAAATATGTGAGATGTTACCAAGACCCCTCTGTATTGTGGGGCTTGTACTCTAATCTGTGTCTTCCCAGCACTGTAAAGCTGCTAAAATGTCTGCTAAAACCTCTGATCAACCCTTTAGGTGTTGTTGTTCTGCTGGCTTTCTTACAGTCTCTCCTTGTGGCTGTGATCCTAGGAGCAAACCATTTGCAAGAAATTTGTAAACAGACTTTTGCCTTTCATGTCCACAGTTTTTTCTTTCCATCTAGAAAGTCTCAGCTGCATTTGTTCTCAAGGTCCAAACTTCTGTCCTAGCCAGTTAGGACCTCTGCTGTCTGTTTATCTCTGTAACTACTTGCTGCAACTTAGAAAATGTTTAAGGGCATGGGAGGAGCTAAGGTGAATATGGATCTCGCCTCTTGAGCTTTAATTCTCTCAAGGATTGTGATCAATTGAGTTGTGCCTTCACTAGTTGATTTTTAATGCCTTCAGCTGTTAAATATGAATATGTTGTGCATGCATAGTTGCTGTTAAATATATATATTTATAGTTGTTATATATAATTAATATATGCAATAAAATACATACACACAGTTTATCCTGCTTTTATAATTGTTTTCAATGATAATTCTAACCAAATTAAGATATTTCAGTATGACCAGTCCACAACATCATTTTGTTTGTTTGTTTGTACTGGAGGTTAGACAAACGATGCTCTACCACTAAGCATGGCCCCTATTAATTTTTATTTTGAGACAGGCAAGTGCCACCACACCTGATCTGCAACTTCCATTCTTGACCTTCAATTTTTGTAGTTTATCCAAATTCCATGAATCTTCATCCCACAAGTCAACTCCTACACTTTAAATTTTCAACACTCTCTTCCTTCCAACTTTTAATACTATAGCCCAGAGTTCCTGATACATGCATTCCAATTTGTATTTCTGAGTCTCAAGCATTTTGATACTCAATCTAAATGATTACCCCCACATTCCAAAACTTCTAGCTCCCATACCCCAAACACTGTTGATATTCTCTAATACTCCTACCACATTTCCTGGACAGCACCCCATTATTATAATTACTCACTAATTTTGTCTAACTTCAAAATCCCAACAAGCTCCTTAAAATAGTTTCTGTCACCTCAAATCTCAGGTCCTGCAAAACAGTTACTTGAGTTTTGATGTTTTTTAATGACATTTTATGTTTTTTCCACTCCAGAATATTTTTCTAGCACATGCAAATGTAAGATAGTGATCACAGCACTAGGCAATGATTTCTATCCTGTGAATTCAGCAGATAATTCTGGAAAGGAGAAGCCAATCATTTTTCTCTTCAAATTTAAGCAACCATTTAAGATTTCAGTGTCAATTAACCTACCATTCCATGATTGTCTATCAACAAAATACACATTTAACTCCATATCTTCTTTTTACCAGTTAATAAAATTTAAGATAGAATTATGTCATTACAGCTATTAAAATCAGCAGAGAAAATGCTCCAGGATATCAAATAATTCATTTCTATCACAAAATGCAATTAAAGGAAGGAAATTTAGAGCCCTTAGGATTACAGAATTATCTTCCTTTATGGCAATTTAGCCTTCTAGAAAAGACAGATGGGTCTTTGATCTTTGCGCTTTTTCAGGAGACTTAATTAACATTTGTAATTTTGGTACCTTAGGAAAATCACGTAATGTCTCTGAGTTTTCATTTGTTACATAGAAGGTCAAGATGACAATACGTTTATAATAAAAGAATTTTATGAACAATAATGTGAGATAAGGCAGTTGAGCACAGTGGTTAAAAAACAGATTCTGTAGCCCAATAATGTGAATGTATTTGAATGTCATCTATATCACTTACTAGCTGGTAAACTTTGTAAAGTTACTTCACCTCTTTATTTCCTCATCTGTAAAATGGAAATATAATAATGCCTATCTTATAAATTTCTATGATGATTAAATGAGCTAATGTATATGAAACATTTAGAAAGTACCTTGCAAATAATAAGTGCTATGCAAATATTATTACTGTATTATCAAATAAGTTTATATCATTCTCTGTATATAATATTTACTTCTATTTTAATGGAACATGATTATAATTTTAGTCAGAGAAAATTATGTTATGCTTTTTTGGTTTACAAATTTATCAGCAAGCAGAATATTTCTCCAGTTGACCATCCTATCAAAAAATGCCCTGCCCAATTTCTGTAAACTGGAAATTTTTGAAAGCTTGTAACATTACCTACATTAACAGTGTTTCTGCTTCATAAATTGTGGTACTGAAACTTCAAAATATCTAGCTAAAATTTTTTATCAATACTTAAAATATAGCCGGGCATGGTGGTGCATGCCTGTAATCCCAGCACTCGGGAAGCTGAGGCAGGAGGATTGTTGTGAGTTTGAGACCAGCCTGGGCTACAAAGTGAGCTCAAGGCCAGCCTGAACTGCATAGCGAGACCCTGTCTCAAAAAGTTAAAAACAAAACAATACTTAAAATATAAAGCTTACAATTAATCATTTACATTAGTAGCACAGATATCAGCACAAAATTTCCTTAACATATTCTATAGATGTAACCTATTAAATACATTTAACAAGATTACTTCAGATGTCAGAAAGTTTTGGAATTCTAGCAGAAAGAAAATAACAAAAAATTTTCCACTGATAATATAGATAAGAGTTATTTCACAATTTTAAGTATTCCATATATACAGAAAACCATATTTTAGATGATTTTGTACTTTCAACTTACCAGCAATAGTAAAGGTATACTACTATGTGATAATAATGCCAGTATTTTGACAAATAAAAATTAAATACATTTCTTGTTCTGTATGTTGCTTTATATTCCACAGTGTGATCAAAATATAAGGTGAATGTGGAAATTTAAAAAAAATTATGACCCTGAAAGACATATTGCTATTAATCTTCTTCAAAATAGTCCCCTTCACTTTCAACATACTTATATCTTCATTCTTGATCTTTCTCAACAAGTTTACAGTTTGTGGCAATTTCTGTCAAATAAAAACTTTACTGTGTATCTGTTGCCAATCAGCCTCTGGTTCTTTTACTCAGTTGACTTGGAAATCATGAATTAGCAAAGTGCAACTCTGCTAACAGTCTCCAAGTCA